CAACCACCTAAAGGAATCGAATATAGAGATAGATTTGAACCAAATGATAATTATGATAAACTAATTAATTATGAAAAAACAAATTAGATCTAGATTGTATGATAATTACTAAAAAAGCCTTATTAACTTGGGCAGATTTGATGATGTTATTTTTTTTATATAATAAAGATGATACATAAGAAAATACTGAAAGAAGAATATATTTCTTTATAGTATCTTTTGAAGGAAATGTTATAATTTGGTGGGAATGAATAAACAATGACACAAAAACACTAATAAAAAAAAGTACAAAAAGAGATAATAAAATCAAATAGACAATGTATAGAAAGGTTAGTAGAATATATCTCAGATGAATTTTTAGGAGAAAATTGGTTAAGAAACGCTACAGGAGAATCAGCAAGAGAAAAAGATAATGCTAGAATNAAATCAAATAGACAATGTATAGAAAGTTTAGTAGAATATATCTCTGATGAATTTTTATGAGAAAATTGGTTAAGATACGCTACAGGATAATCAGCAAGAGTAAAAGATAATGCTAGAATTAAACTAATAAATTTAACAATATGTGATATGTGTGAAATTAAAGAATATACTTGTGAGTTTAAAAATTATTATTATGTACAATTTTATAGTAATGAAAGTTAATAAGTATATCAAGATATGCATTATAATAAATTACCAGGTTCATGGAGAATATATTTTAAAACAGAATTTGAAAAATATACTAGAGATAATATTGGAATACCTAGAACTATAGGATCAAGAATAAAATTTCTATTCGAAAAACTTGCATATATATGTCAATGAAGACAATTATTGAAAAAATCAGGGAAATTAACCGGAATATGTTGTGAAAATATAGAAAAACCTATACAATGAGGATGTAACCCTAAAAAAAGTAGTATTAAAAGAAAATTTAAAAAATTTAGAAATTTTAGGAAAAAATATATAAAACTTAGAAGAAAATATTATAAGAGAAAATATAATCCAAACAAACAACTAAAAAATAAACCTTATAGAAAAAATAAAAGCAAATGTAAATGTTGGAATTGTGGAGAAATATGTCATATAAGTCCAGATTGTAATACGAAAAATATTAAAAATATTATGAAAATAATACTTAAAAATAGAAGATGAATTAAGTGAAATATAAGATATTGAACAATATTATGATCAAGAAGTATACATAAGTGA